AATAGTCGCCAGTGTTAATGATAATCAGTAAAGTTAGAAAAATGTACTCGCCAAATCGTAACGCCTCAAGTAGAGAGTGCCCTCCAATTTTGCCTTTTACATCACTATCCGGTATTTTAGGCGTCAATGAATTAACCAATAATCAACCAATAATCAACTATAAATGAATAATTAAAAAGGGAAGGATTATGGAAATCGGTTAAGAAATCAATACCTCCTGCCATACTGCCTGAAGGATCAGAAAATTTTGTCAATAACTGCGCCGAGCAGTGTGAAAATAATAAAGAAATCCGGATTCCAAGAAAGAAGAAAAGATATTCTTAAGAATAAACAATTAATCAACTCTATGTAAGTTATTCAACTCTATGTAAGTTATTAATTTATTGCTTTCATTATGATATTACATACATATATACACGTACTAATATGTCAATTTTATGAGAATCGATATTTGTACAGTTTACTCTCTGGAAGTACATTTCAGTTACATTTCCTTGGCAATCATTTCACCAGCTATATCGAATTCAATCCGTTTTAGCAGCAAATATTTCATCGACTCTTAATTCTAACCAATGCTAACTTTAAATTAAATCAACCTTAAGATGGATTGGGTCTTAATTGCCGGTAAAATGATTGTCAGGAAAATGGTTGCTATATGCCAGTAATAATCCTACTGTGCATATTGTGATGTGATAGGATTCACTTGCGTATACTTTCAGAGAGTACTGTTTAGATATTCATACCCAACGTGACATTTTCTTAAATTCAAATATCGCATGATATCGATTATCTCATTTTTTTCAAGATTGAACAATTTTTACACTTGAGGTATTTTCGAATTCTATAGGTTTGCAGTAGATTTTTACTATTCTTCACTCAAAATTTTAAAACTTCAATTAAAATACCTATTCGATTTTGATGTTTGAAGAATTTTCAAATCTAAAATATATATATATATATACTGAGATTGCCTCTACTGAGATTGTTCATTTCTTGCCGTCCATAAACTTTCTATTAGAATTTAGTCGCATAGGGTATGAATATTAAAAATAGAATATGTACAAATATCAATTCAATATTTTTAAATTTAAATATATAAGGGTTAAATTATGGAAGAATCCAGCTTATCAAACTGATATTTCAAAATAAATAAGTTTACATGGGCGCATAAGGTGATAGAGCCCATTGTGGACTTCATTGAGGATGGACTAGAGTCGGACCTTTTTATCCGATGGTAAGTTATAGTTTTGTCATCACCTAATTATTTGTATGATCGTGATCACTAAAGTCTTTCAGAGAAACTAATAAATTTTTATTTAGGGAGACCATTACCAGCAAGGCAAGTCTAGAGAAGAATGGTCTCAGGGTCCAAATAAAAGGTTCGATATTTTCGGAATTCATCCAAACGAAATTTCTAATCTAGAAATTTTATTTGGAGAAAATTCTTACGGCCTTGCTGATAAATGCAGGAAGTGTTCAAAGGGTGACAGGACCAAGTTGGGGAAGGATGTAAAGATTCTTTTGATTGCGTCTTAAGGAAGCACCAAATTTCTCCAACACTGGTCCAGAATTATTAAATCTCTTTGAAATTCACTCACATGGTTAGTATACTACAGATATACAGTTATTTTATAGTATATTTTTTATTTATTTAACATTCAAATCAAATTAACCTATTATTTTTAGGAAGCGTGGTTGATTTTTTTTTATCTTTGATAAAAATATATAGTTCACTGTTCCATATAAGGAGATTAGCAACCGTCAAACTTCCCTTTAGGAGGAATACAAAATTTTTTGAATTAATAGAAGTTTTATGCACATTTATTATCAAAAGATGGAAATCAATATTCTTTGATACTCCAGTAGCTAAGAAAGCTAGTAAGAAGTAGTGATGCTTGACGAAATTGATTTTATTAGTAGACGAAATTAAACCTGACGAAATGACGAAACTCTTGACGAAATT